TATTTTAGGGAAGGGTCTAGAGGGTGTTCAGGGTCTCACTACTAGATTGGACTGGTAGTGATCCAACTGCTTACAGCCTCCTAAGAGCTGGGATAACAGGCGAGCGCCAACAGGCCCAGTCTCAAGTGCCATCTCAGCTCTCAGCGTGCTCTGGGGGCGGGGCTGGCACAGCAGGCCCGAGAATTGAAACCCTGTCCCCTGCACCTGCTTGCAGGCGCTTTAATCCACTGAGCTATTTGGCCGGCCCTTGGGATGTCCTTCAGTGCAACTCTTATTACTGTTCTCACCAAGACAATGGCTATCTGCACAGATCAATGTGACTTGAAAGAATCTGGAAACCTCAGACTCCACGCCTAAGTGGCTAGGGTAGGAGCCCCAGCTCCATGATGAAGACACCTCTTTTCTCTGACACCAGAGCGCCACCATCTGTTCTCTCAGTTGATCCCTCTGAAGCGCACCCCAGTTCCACCTTGCTGATAGAACTTGGCACCAATGAGGTCTCTATTGCTTGCTGCAAATGAGAGAAAAGTCAACCGTTGTAAACGTTGGCTCCCATGGCTCCTGAGATTACCTTGAAACCATATTGGGTGTGAAGAGGAGAGGTACATGGGAAAAATGGGACTCTGGGGCTGAGGCTGTAGCTCAGAGGCAGAGCCCTTGACCTGAAGGAGAGAGGTCCTGGGCTCCATCCTCTGCACAGGAGAGAGGGAGACAGGGAAAACATGCTTTTGAAGAAAGGTGGCTTTTAGGAATAAGAGTTACCTTTTCACTCTTCTCCCCTTACTCCTAAAGTCTCATAAGAGCATCATTCCGTAAGTGCTACCATCTATCACTATTCCCACCCCTCACATGAGGATGGTGAGAACTTTATCCTGGGTGTGCTCCAGAGCCTACAGTATCAGAAAGCTCCGTGCTCACATGAAGGACTCCCAAGAAAGCCCTGGTGAGCTCTCAATCTCAGGAAAACCTTCAGAAGGTGACTAGAAATCACCAGCCACAGGCAAGTTTTGTAATTTTCCATTTTTCATATTGGTTATAATTTCTCACCCCTCTTAATTTACACAGAGGTATTTGTTTTTGTTTTATTCTGGTAGTTGAACCCAGGGAATGCTGAACTACATGCCTAGCCATTTTTATATTTTACTTTTTTTTTTTCTTTTTAGATATTTTTGAAACAAGGTCTCCCTACGTATTTAGACTGGCCTTGAAATCACTATGTATCCAGGCTATCCTCAAACTTATGGCAATCCTCCTGCCTCAGCCTTCTGAATGCTAGGACTACATGTGTCACCAATGCCTAACTCCTTTTCCAAAAAAGACTGACTTAGCCTTTGAATTTGTGATCCTGCTAATGCAGCCTCCCTGGTAGCTGGGATTACAGTACTATACCACATTCTGGCTTCCTGCTACGGTTCGTGTATAGTTATCCCCCCAAAGCCTCATGCAGTCTTGGAGCTGCTTCTGGAGTTTGTGATTATTGTTGGTGTGGACGCTGCACCTGCCCTGGGGCAGGTAATTTGCATTACAATATAAGGACAGAAGAGAAGCTTGAGCTGCTGCTCCTCCTCCCTTGTGCTTTTGCTCTTTGCTGCTGCCATGAAAGGTTGCTCTCTGCCAGGTGCCAGGCTGCCTTCGAGCCAGCTGAATGTGGACTGAAACCTCCAGTGACTGTGAGCTAAATAAACCTTTCCTTCCTTCATTTTGAGCGTCAGGTATTTGTCCCAGCAATGAGTAAAAAGTAACTAAGACACTTCCAGGGAGAAATTTAAAATGGAAGTGAGTCCAATGGTGGCAAGCCCAGGGCATGCGTGCCGCAATGGGCGGTGTGTATCACTGAAAGGTCCAAAACATTCACTTTCACTGAGAAGAATCTTAAGCCTGATAGAAGTAGATGTCTTTGAACTTTATATATCCTAGGGATGAAACTTCCCTAAATGGAGTTTTTTTAATAATTAAAGTAATGGATAGAGTGTGTATAAAAGTATTTCTCTCAGGCTTTTAAAATCTATTATAAACAAAATTTGCCTAAACTATAAGCACCATATCTATAGTTTGCATTATGAAAATATATTGTATTTTCAAATTTTTAAAAATAATCTGGCAAGATAGCTCAGCAGACTAAGCACCTGCTTTGGCAAGTGCAAGGACCAGGGTTCGATCCCCGGTCCTGCATGCCGCGTCAGCCCTGCTCCCAAGCACACTGAGCTGGCGACAGAGGCCAGACATGGTGGTGCACACCTGTAATCCCAGCGCTGGGGAGGCTAAAAACAGGAGGATCACCAGGAGTCTGATCTGTGTAGTGAGACCCTGTACCAAATACACAAATGAAAATAATAATAATAATAATAATAATGTTTTATAGTATACAAGCATAGCGATGGATGCTTGTAATCCCAGCACTCAGGCGGGTAGAACAGGAGAATCAAGAATTTGAAGGGCCAGCCAGATAGCTCAGCGGACTAAAGTGCCTACTTAAGCAGGGCGCAGGGACTGAGGTTCAATCCCCAGCACCACATGCCATGCTGGCCCCACCCCCAGGGTGCACTGCGACAGCCATTGAGACTGGGCATGGTGGTGCACACCTGTAATCCCAGCACTTGGGAGGTTAAAAACAGGAGGATCACTAGGAGTTTGATGTGTGTAGTGAGACCCTGTAGACCCTGTACTAAATACATTAAAAAGCTTTTGGCTTTCGGCTAGGAGGAGGCTAAGGTGCAACTTCCTTCGGTCATCCCGAATCCGGGTTCATCCGACACCAGCCACCTCCAGTACGCCGCCCAAGTTCGACCTCATTGAGATCAAAGTCGTGTACCTGAGGTGCACCAGTGGTGAAGTTGGCGCCACGTCTGCCCTGGCCCCCAAGATCGGTCCTTTGGGTCTGTCTCCAAAAAGTGGGGGATAACATTGTCAAGGAAACTGGTGACTGGAAGGGTCTGCGGATTACGGTGAAACTGACCATTCAGAACAGACAGGCTCAGACTGAGGTGGTGCCTGCCTCTGCCCTGATCATCAAAGCCCTCAGGGTGCCGCCAAGAGACAGAAAGAAGCCGAAACACATTAAACACAGTGGAAATATCACTTTTGATGAGATTGTCAACATTGCCCGACAGAACCTTGCAGCACCAACCTTTAGCCAGAGAACTTCTGGGACCATTAAGGAGATCCTGGGGTCCGCCCAGTCTGTGGGCTGCAACGTAGACAGTTGGCACCCTCATGACATCATAGAGGACATCATCAACAGTGCTGTTGAATGCCCAGCTAGCTAAGGAGCATAAGAAAATACATCAATAAAGAGATGATCTTAAAATTAATTAATTAGAAAGAAAGAATTTGAGGCTAGCCTGGGCTACTAGTGGAATCCCATGGGGGGGGGAATGGATGAATATGTGTGTGTGTGTGTGTGTGTGTGTGTGTATAATGCACAGAGATTTCTTTCTTGAGTGGCAGCAAACATTAGCTTTTCAGTCATCTCACCTAAGTCAGTTCTTAGATTATGTGATGAAGAACAATAAGAGGAGGAAGAAGAGAGGGAGGAGGAGAGGGAAAAGGAGGGGAAAAAAAGCTTCCACCATTAAAGTATGCACAAGATAAAGTCGTTCCAAGCCAGAAGCTGAGTCCTAGATGCAGGCCATGCAATGGCACATACTCGTGAATACGCTCACATGGGAAGCTACAGAAACACCCTGGCTCTCGATGGCTACCTGAGGCTGATGAACTGGATCGACATTTACTTGCTGGTGGATTCTTCCATGAGCAGGACTTTAGGGATGCTTGCCATGGCTGTAGTTCAGGCTTATCAAACACTGTAAGGAATTGCAAAGTTCTACCAGAGTTCAGGCTAAAAATCTGATCCTATAGGGAAACTACCAACAGGAGCGCTTCGAGTCCTGACCAAGGCCTATAATGAAAGGCAGCAAGTCACAGGGTGCAGCACCCACAATATAGCAGGATTCTATTGGCTTCATGTCAGTGTCTCCCAAGGGACCTGAACTTTACAGTTAATCTTAAGTGCAGGGAAGAGAAGTTCTTGGCAGAAAAGTTTATTGCCCAAGGGATCTACCAAGTCCATTTTACTTTGGACATCAAATGGCTGTGTTGAACCCCAACTATTCTCTATGTTACCAGTAAACCCTTATAATCTCCAACTAAAAAAATAGTTTTGTTTCTATGGAAGTTGATATATATCAACTCAAGTGACTCTGAGCTAATGATTTATATATTAAATTTATATGTTAAAGTGTTACTGGGAAACCAAGTCCTAACACCAAAGGGTCCCAACACTGCAAGAAACTAGAGACACACAAGATAAAGTCTATCCCTTGTGTCTTTGAGAAAAGATTTCAGAAAAGACACAAAGGCTGTCATATAGAATATAGGTAGAGTTTTTGCAAAATGATAGGTTTCCAGAGAGACGGGGAGACAGTGACAGAACAAATATACCTGCAAGGCTGAAAGTAGGTAAGTACCAAGGTCGAAGCTTTGCTGAATGAGATGTCAGGTTACATTTATAGGCTTAATCAGGTCTTTCAAGGAATGTCTTTTCTTTCCTCCAAAATCATTGTTCTTTCACACTGAAATGGGCTGCTGATCTACTAGGTCACTGTTTACCCTCGAAGTGGATGGATGTTTTCCATTTAGTTTGTTAGATGGATTTTTTTGGGGGGGGCGGGCTGGCTCAGGATGCCTTAAGGGCAGGTCTGGTAAGGCCTGAGGATCTGGGGATCGAACCACAGCATCCTGTGCCTGACTGCTTTGCTTAAGCAGGCAAAAGGTGAGATGGATTTTTTTCCCCTTATTTAGTTTGTTAAAAGCCCTTGACATTTTTCCAAGCTCTCATCCATGGTCTAGACTTTGTCCAGGCCCTGGACCTTATCAACATACTCTTAATTGTTTTGTTTTGTTTTTGCTCCGAATGCCTTCAAGGCATGACTGGCTGTCTTGTGTTGTGGGGATCGAACCACAGCAACCTGAGCCTGACTGCTTTGTTGAAGCAGCCACTTAAAGAACTGAGCTAAGGGGCAGGCCCCCATCAACATACTCTTAAGCTAAAGTTTGGAGCCACAAACTCATGTGGATTTTTTCCAAGGCTGATGATTAAGAAAGAAAAAGGAAAAATAATACTCTACCTTTGTACATTTTCAAGTAGCCTCCTAGACACCTGCATCCAGCCTGCTCTTGTCTAACTTTGTGCCTAATAAAAAGAATGGGGACTCCAAGGGGCATCTCAGATTTGGGAAGGATGAGGTCAAAGCACTCTGGAAGCTCCAATAAAGTACAGTGACCCCTCTGTATTTTTCTGCTTTGTATTCATCTGAAACATCAAACAGTGTCAAGGGGGCTGGGGAGATGGCTCAGTACAATAAGGGCTTCCCTGGCAAGCACAAGGGTCTGAGTTCAATTCCTGGTTCCACAAAAAAAAAAAAAAGATCTCAAGTCTTTCATTGCCAGTTAAACAGAAGACCCAATGCTATTATGGGCTACTGGACTCTTTTAGAATATTTTGCTGAGTTTACACACCTATAATATTCAATAATGGAACTTAGAAAAAGTAGGGTTTACAGATGAATGTCCATTTTGTATCTGTGTATTCAAAGTGGTTGGGATAGATATATAATTGCATTCTCTTAATGAATAGAATGATTTATTCTAATGGTGTTTGTAGATAGGATCTCAAGTCCGCATCTTGTACAGCAATTAACCACTAAGAAGAATATATGCAGTGTGTTATTTGTTGAATCTGTACTTCCAATTTGATTTGAAACTGTCTCATTGCTGTTTATCAATAAAATTAAAAATAAAATAAAATAATTAAGCAATAAAAAAAAGAAAAACAGTGTCAAGAAGCCAAAGCACTCTGGAAATCACTACACCAAGATTAAAAACAGTACTGTCCTTGCAAGCTTTACTGCCTCAAAACCAAACCTGGAGTTAATCATGGCTAAAATCTGCATTGGAAATAAGGCAGAGGGGAGGCCTCTGTGCTTATAAATCTACTTTCACATGGTGTCTGAGTCACCAAATGTGACTTCTGTTGTTGGAACAGATGACAGGAGGGGAAGCATAGCAAATTTCTGTTGCTGACACTATTTAAATCCAAGGACCAGTGAGATAGTTCAGCAGACTATGTACCTGCTTAGGCAAGTGCAGGGACCAGGCTTGATTCCCAGCACCACATGCTGCACCAGCCCAGCCCCCAGGTGTGCTGAGCCGGCCACTGAGACCCAGTAGGGTGGCACATGCCTGTAATCCCAGCACTGGGGAGGCTGAAAACAGGAGGATCACTACAAGTCTGAGCTGTGTAGTGAGTCCTGTACCAAATACATTAAAAAAAAAAAAAAAGTAGTAGACAGTCACAAAAAATTCACATTACCACCCAGCGTTTTCTGAACCCTAACATCTTAGTGAATAACTGAGGCACATGTTCTTGGCATAGGTTTCTAGAAAGGAGAAAAGGTAAGGAGAATGAACTAACAAGTTCAATTCCAATATTTTATTACTCTGAATGACAAAGCCTTCATGCAGTATGTGAAAAAATAATTCTTCTACTGGATTAGACAAACTTAAAAATAATTACAGCATTCAGCATATGAATAAGAGATATTTAGGTAAAATAGAAAACTCTTAATCACATTTATGCAGTAAGACTTCAAAACCAAATTAACATCAATGTATTTTGGTGATAATAAGCAAATTCTCAAATCAGGCTAGGGAGAGGCAGAGCAGGGCCAGGGTGGACCCATGGGGAGCTGCACTCCATAAAGAGGCTGCCCGCGCTACCCAGAACCATAGGCCACATGAACTTGGAAGCTCCCACCCCTGGGCAGTCTGGGGACTGATAAAATTCCTGTTCATTTGTTGCTTGGCATGAGTAAGATACTGACAGGCAGGCCCCTTTCTAGAAACATGAGTCCTCTATATGCCAAGGAGTTCCTGGAACTTAAGCATTGTGTGAAGAGATATTGGTTCCCCAATGGTTGGAAGAAACCTAAGTAAGACTAGCTTACTGGGACTCTGAGGAGGAAAGCAGCCCTTCTCATTGAGGTCATTTCACTGACCTGAAAAATCATATGGGCTATCTAAGGACATTAGCTGAAAGGGGTGGCCCTCTCGATATTTGGGTGGTAGGTCCTCTCTCCAGCCGCCAGGGTCAAGCTGGGATGGGCAGGGCAGTATTTTGGGTGGAGAATGGGGAAAGACACAGCCAACTGTCCTTGACTGAGCTGGGGTTAGAAGAATTTCCTAAGAGATAGATTAGATTTCAGGCTCCGTGTAAATCGTCACTGCTTATCATCCCCTCAAGGCAATCCTGGAGCCCTCAAAGAGGAGCCTGAGAATAATAAGAACAAGCCAAGAGCCAGGCTTGGTGGCCCACGCCTGTAATCCCCACACCTGGGAGGCTGAGGCCAGAGGATTGCTGTGAGTTCAAGACCAGCCTGGGCTACAAGGTGAGTTGAAGGCCAGCCTGAACTGCATAGCAAGATCGTGTCTCAGACCAAAACAAAACAGAACAACAAGCTAACACAGGTCATTCATAATTTGAGAAGAGGATCTGAAGAATGAGGCTGGTAAGAAAGTCAGTGGCAAACGTAGCTACACAGGACATAAGGGACCCTATTGAGTTGGGTGTGGTGCTGCACACCTGTAATCCCAGCATTCAAGAAGCTGAGGCAGGAAAAGTGCCAAGAGTTTGAGGAGGGGAGGGGAGAGGGAGAGGGAGAGGGAGAGGGAGAGGGAGAGGGAGAGAGAGAGAGAGAGAGAGAGAGAGAGAGAGAGAGAGAGAGAGAGAGAGAGAGAGAGAGAGATCCTATTCCCTCTTTTTATTTAGAGGGATCAAAACAGTATACTTATCTGACTTAGCAGGTTGATTGGTGTTTTCTTTTCTGAAAAGAAACTTGAGGTCTGCAGGTGCACCAGGTTTGTGGGTCTCTTCTTCATTTTCTGGTGTCACAGGCAGCTTGGGTTTTACCCTGCAGAGGTGAATCTAGAAAGTATTGGGAGCCAGGGTCCACGGGAATAGAAAAGAAGCATCCTTGAGATGAAAGGCAGAGAGCCAGTCAGTGTCTCCTGGGATCTATGCATGGAGGGTGCGGGGGCCCACCATGAAGGGGTGAAAGGGCACCACTGCCTCACTGGTGAGTCCAAGACCTCGTGCTAGGTGATATTCTCCCAATGGCTTGACAACAGTAAAAATGGAGGTAAGTTGCATGGGGACTGGCATGGCATCAGCAACTTTGTAGCCCCAAACTTATCAATAATAGGCCTAGGG